AGCATGTTAGTGTGTTCTTATTACGCTAATGTACTCAGCTTTGCTGATTGTGTGTATCGTGTGTTTGTTTGGCCTTGTCTTTACCTTGGCCCTACGACGACCCATTTTTAATGGTGAGTAGTGGGGACAAGTAGAGAGAAGCTTTTCAGGTGATGAAGCTTAATCATGATGGGGCATGAGTGAAGAGTGAATCATGCTTAGTTCTCATATGAATATGATGTGTTTATTGCTCTGAATTATTATTTCTATACGTTGATTGTGAGACTAACGCAAAAGGATTTTAAAGCATTTTGGTTTAAGGGCCTACAATGGTTCCAAGTTGTAGGTTGACTTGGTTTGACTTTGTTTGACTTTTACTTACGTTTGGTTTGACTTTTAAGTTGACTTGATTTTAAATAGTTTTAAAGATAGTCTTCCGCTGTGTGTCTTTGATAATTGCCTTAGCCATTTTCACGGTGGCGGTAATATCTTAGATTTTCATTTTTCGTGTTTTAAAAAGAGCAAACAGGTATTTTAAAGGAAAGGAATTTCTAGGGTGTTACAATCTGCGAAAAGTTCAAAACGATTACGGCCTTTTGAATACCATTGCAGACCCAATCACATGAGAAAGAGTCAAGGAGATTATCATAGGGAAACTCGACTCTCTAAAGCTTTTGCAAAGAACCTGCAATAAAATCGAGGATTTGAAGGATCAACAGCGGCAACTCTTCCAATAGGTTTTAAGTGACCAACACAAGAATCAATGCGAGACACTGTCGTGGTTGAATTTGAAAAAGTTCTAGTTGGAGATGAGCCTTGAGTCCTCGGTGATCATTACTGATGGACACTCTAGGACCAATTAGAGGATGTGTCCAACGATCAAAATAAGCAAGCCTTGCCGCATCCGACAGAAAGAAAATATATGCCAAACTTATATCCAAAAGCTAAGGGTGTGGACAATAGAAGGTGCAAGTTTTTCTGGGGCAATAAATATTATAACTATCCAATATGAGTCTAGTTTATGAATACGAAAGCCTTTGGAATTTAATAGTCTTTCATATAGGTGGTAAGAAAGAAGATTATAGAACAACCTATTTTCTTCCTGATTCCCGTGGGTGTGGGACTAGTCATTCCCGCTACGCACCTTGCCTTACTAGCTTTATTGTGATCCTCTTTTCCCTTAATCTTCTTCTGCATCACCAATGATAGTTGACCAAGAACTCCTACTACCACTAGCACTGGTTACTGGAACATCAGATGATTTCACTCTAACAACAGATATGGCTAAAGCACCGATAAAACCAAGAGCAGAAATGAAGACAACTTTTATGCCAAAAGCGTCCGCGTTGAGGAGATCTGGGTCTTCTACCCAGTGGTATAGGACTAGAACTTAAATTAGCTGTGACAGTATCCGTTGGTGCCATTGTTAAAATGAGTGTTCCCGCTTCATCTTCCCCAATATTCTTAGATTTAGCAACAGTGATATCAATACAATAGATAGAAAGAATTAGCCGCCAGTCAAACTCTGACATGCTGACTCTTCTTAGGTATGGGCTCCCATGATAGTTAGTTCTGAGGAAGGCCTTCAAGTCGAGTTTCTAAATTTCCCCCTTAAAGAAAGTCCAGATCGGTTGGTGCTGTCTTCTTGCTATAATTTTTCTGATTTGATAGATAGAACGCGGGATGGGTATAGCCTTCTAAACTATAAAATAAAGAATGTTGTAAAAAAAGTAAAAAAAAAAAAAAAACCCCGATTCTTCCCTGGCTCCACTATTCCCTTTCTCTATTTTAGAACGGAGAGCGGGCAAGGCCTCCATTGAAGCCTAGCTATTCGCCTTTCTTTAACACGATCCTGTAACACACTCTTATTGAGGCTAGGCTAAAGGCCGACTACTCATTTTTTTCGAGAGTTGGGGAACTTCACTTCGAGGGAAGCTTTTTTCCCTGGGAAAACTCAAGAAAGGAAAGAAAGACCCGTAAGCTGCTTCTTTGCTCACTGCGATTGCGATGTCTTATTATATTGCTCAAAAGCTCAGGGGAAATTATTCCCTAGCTCTTTTGAATGTGAATATTGAGTAAAATCCCTTAGTTTAAAAGTCTTCCTTGGCCTTGGCTAGTGTGAATCCTCCTCTAAAGAGGATTGAGGTGTCCTATAGGCGTGAAAACATTTTTTTTCTAGGCGAGTTCCTCTTGAAAAGGAAAGGAACTAGTTACTTCCACCCTGGTGGTCTCCTAAAGAAAGAGAAGTCTTTCATGGAAAAGCTTTTGAGCTTGGGTTCCTCATAACAAACTTGGTCGAAAACCCAAGTCTTGATGCCAATGTTGGCCCGTAAAACCTTTCTCAATGAATGGAGAGAAAGTTCGCAAATCACCTTCGTTTGTACCGGAACTTCGTGAACTAAATGTTGGCAAAGCCTATTTTTCCATCTTCAGGTATTCGTGCCAGTATTTACGAACTCTAGGTTAAAAAGCTAAATAAAAGAAAGTCAAAAGAAAAGGCGGTTTCTAGTGGATCATGTTGCCATAAAGTTATCTTTCATAGTCGGGCTAATGAAGAATCTGATGAGTTGAGCAATGCATTATTTGCTAATAGTCCTCCCTCCTTGATAAGGGTTAAAGAAGAATCAGAATCTCGGACGTGCGATTGAACTCCTAGCGGGGCTACTCACTCAATGTAGTCTACACCTCCTCTAAGGATAATGGGTAGAAAGTGAGAGCTTCTACCATAAAGAGCTTAGCAAGCATATAAGGCATAACCGATAGAGAGCTTACTAAGGTAAGCAAATCACTCTTTCTTTATCACCATCAGTATAGTAGCAATAGACTGATCTTAATCCTTCGACTCACGAGATTCACCACTATAAGGGAAGTGAGCCGAGGAAAGGCAGTGAAGGCTCGACTCCGCTCGGGTGGGTGAAAGCCCCGGGTTGCGTAGAGAAAGGTAGTTTACTTTATTGAATAAGTAAGCAAGTAAACTACCTTTATTTTTATTTGTTTCGGTCTAAATCGAAGCTCTTGCAGTCCTTAATACTTCGCAAGCACTAAGCAAGAGTTCTACCTTTCTGGCACGCCAAAGCAAGGTAAGCGATCCCAAAGCCTACTGAGCCAAAGCTTCATGCCCGACCTTGGATCTTGCAAACAACAGGTAGACCAACCGAAGCAAAGACTAGCAGCGAATCATGTTCGCTTTGACTACGTAACCTGTACTGTGCCTATGAACTCATCTTAAGCTAAGGAAAAAGACAGTGGAAATGGCTACACTCATTCTCGCTGTTGTTCCTCAAACACTGACACTGAGATAATAAGGAGTACATCTACCTAGAGAGAGCTTCTTCATTTTCTCGCCCGACAGAGGGCTGCTTTAAATGGTATTACCATAGACCCGAGAAAGTCTTGCCACAGTTCTCCTTCATTAAGAACCTCTTCCGGGAATGCCCCTGAGACTATTTATGAAAGTATTATGTATTAGCATAATACTTGTCTTTCAAAGATGTTATACAAATATTGCACCATATTCATTTTAGAAAATAAAATATCTCTGTTCACACTACAAATAACCTAATATAACCTTACTTTTAACACTTGATTCTTTAATTTATATTTGGTTGAATAACCCATATCCTTTTATCATGCAAATGGTTCACGGGTTGAAAAATGAGTTGGTTGAAGAGGGTCACAAGTTATAATTGGTTCAGGTTAATTAATTGAATATGAGTCGAAAATGACTCTACTTTAATGGGTTATGGTTCATAAACGATTTAGGAAACAATTTTGTTTTAAAATGGGTCGGGACACTAACTAGTTTGATTATATTGAGTTCAATTTTGTTTGGATTATCACGGGTCCGTTTGATATCAAGTTTGGGTTTTATATCATTATATGAGTCAATATTTATTAATTCAGTTCAATTTCAAAGTCGAACAGTATCAATTTTGGTTGGTTTTTGTTTTCAAAAAGTGAAACCTTAAGCAGTCTAGTTCCTGTAAAATCGAATCGATAGGGGACAATTTCACAGTTTGTCTTTATACTAGGCACATACAGTATATGTCTAGCAAGACAAGGGTCTCGAGTAGGGATGACAATTCAATCTGAATTCGATTCGAATCCCACTCGATCTGAAGAAAAAAATTTCGATTCGAATCTGTTTAAAAATAGTCTGAATCCGACAAAGTAAATCTGAATTCGAAAGGAGGCGGATCGAACCTGGACCCTGTGCGAAGTCCGAGCGAGTCCGAGTCCAAGTCCAAATACATATTGAAAGACATTTTAAAATTTACATTGTTGTTGTTGTTGTTGTTGTTGTTGTTGTTGTTGTTGTATGAAGATAAGCCGGTAGCAATTTATATCTTGGGATGTTTTCTTGTTTGTTAGTAGCAAATTTAATTTATAATTTACATAGGTTATATTTAGATTTAAAATCCTAGATTTTTACGAATATTTACGCATCTATATTATGTAAAAAAGATTATTGGAGATAATACAAGCAATTATAAGTATATCACACATTATTCTTAAAAAGAAAAAAAAAAAACTCGGATCAATTTGGATGTCCGAATAAACAGATTGGATTCGGACCCTTAAAATGTGAGTCGGATTCGAACTCGGACTCAGGTCAATCGGATTCAGATCCGATTTTGGACCCAAATCCACAGTCCAATTATTAAACGGATCGAATTTAGATTCACCCCATCCGACCCGAGCTGATCCATTACTAATTCTAATCTTGAATCTAACATCCAATAATTATTAGGGACTAGGGTCATTGTAGGGTCAAGTAACCTTTATTTATTTTTTTTTTTTTTTTTTTTAACACGAGTACAAAATTAAGTCTGAATTAATTGAATCAGTTTTTAACAACTCAATAATGATCGACCAAATACAATACCATATGCACAAGACCGCCGTTGTTGAATAAAGGATAAGTTTTAAATGTGTGTAATACCACGTCGTAGTCACTCACCTGATCACGTGTCTAGAGCCCAGAATTCAAGCAAACCCACCTGTAGGAATTTAACTCTATCCTACACAAAAGTAGTCTCAATTAAAAACTGCCACTGATAAATGAACAGAGTATATGTACAATATACGAAGTTTCGAAAATCATTTTCCAGATTTTTTTTCCTTTTAAATTTATCATTTCTTCTCGATTTAATCTTTCATTTCGTTGAATTTCTCCACCCCAATAAAATCCTTCGTCTGACCAACAACAGTCAGCTTTCAAACATTCCTTTACTCAAATCAATTTGGATTTTTTTTTTTCAATCTAAATGATCTTGTACTTTGATTTTAGTTACTAGTGAATTTTACTAAATTTTAAGAATTGCCCAAAAATAAAAAATGGTGATAACAGAGATTTCAATGATTCATCATGTTTGCATTGTGCTGGTTTTGCTTTGGCTGCTTAATTCCTACAATTTTTGCCACCCAGTTGTTTATCTCATCTCTTTAATTTATTTGTACCAGGTTTGTATACTTTCTTACCTTTTGATATATTTTTTTTTAATTTTTTTAATCTATGATTAAATTATTTTTTTGGGTATATTTTTTTTAATTTAATTTCTATCATGTTCTTCCCAATTGCTTACTTGTTGGAGTTATTTGGTGTTTATGTTTTTGATTTAGGGATCATGATCTTTCAAATTGTGTAATAAGTGGTTTTTGTTTTGGGGAATTTGGGGCCTTATTTAGGGAGGTTTTGTTTTTTAGAATGGGATTTTATTGTATTTTTGTAAAATTATTTTGAGATCATTTTCTTTACATATTTTAATTGAGGTTCTAATTTATTACTTATATTTTGGTTTTTTAATGATCATGTTTTTCACAGTTTTTTACATGTTAAGAATAAAATTTTGCTTTTTAAGTAAAGAAGATGATGGATGAAGTTTTCTTAATTATTGCCTTTTTGTTGTGGAATTAGATTCATGAAAGGTATGCTATGAGATTAAGGAGAAAGTTGCAATTTGATGAACGAAAAGCAGCCAATCAAAGAAGGGTATGAATCTTTTCTGTGAATTTTTACTTTATTTTTTTCATTGAAGTTATATTTGATAGTTTGATGATTTATATTAAAGCACCGTTTGTGTACTTTTTGAATTTGCCTGTCCTTTGTAGTTGTGGAGAATACGCTTATAGTGGATAAAATTTTAATTGGGAATCTGCCTTTTGTTTCTGCAGATACTAACAGATTCTGAGACTGTAAGGTGGTTGAATCATGCTGTTGAAAAAATGTGGCCGATTTGTCTGGAGCCAATTATATCGCAGAGGATTTTCCTTCCCATTATACCTTGGTTCCTACAGAAGTACAAACCATGGACTGTAGTATGATTCCATTTTTTTTGTTTGAATTTTACTGACAATTATTTCGCTGAGGATTTTCCTTCCCAGTTTTTTGTTTCTACAGAAGTACAAACCATGGAATTTATGATACTTGACTTGGTTGGTTAGGCCGCATACATATGAACCCAGATAATCCTGTCCAAATGTGGGATCAAGCCACTGGGTCACTATTGATTCATTCTGGATATAAGAGGAATCTGATTTTTGGGGTTTGTATAAGAGACACAATCACGTTAATAAATAGGGCCCTTTTTTTGTTTTTTGTTTTTTGTCGTTTAGAGAGCCACAAAGGCGAGTGATGAGAATCAATCCTAGGATTTCTTGGAATCGGGAGGGAAGCTCTAACCACTTGAGTTATCCCTCGCTTTCAAATTGGGGCCTTTTTGATGGGTATTTAGGAATGTATTTATGAATGCATAGTATTTATTGTTGGTACTCTTTTAAAACTCTCTTAAAATTTACTTGGATGCTCTTTGTTTTTATCACTTTACACACCTTTTTTTCAAACTTTTTCAACCAAGTTTATCTTGTTATGTCCTTTTTCTTTATCAGACGGTTGGTTCCTTATGACAATTCATGATACCTGACTCCAAATCATTTGCGACTAAGACTAGGATCTTATGGTGGTAAATTCTAGGATTAGGATTGTTCTTTGATTGTATCATTAGTTTTTATGCACTGCTGTAGTAATTTGCACTGAAGCTAGCTTCACTTATGCTCTGATAAGTTATTTATAAAATTCTTCACTTATGCACTGATAAGTTATTTTTAAAAATTCTCATTTTTTGAGATGGCTTGTATGCATAATTTAGATTTTGGTCACTTTCGAGCATCTTTGAACTTTTAATGTGTTGTAGTTGATTTGGTTTGTTTATGCATAAATGATATAAAGTACAATATTAGTAGTATTATTTATTTTGCTTTTCAGCATAAGAGAAATGGGAATGTAATGAGGTTTAGGAAGTCTGGTAAACATATGCTAGTATATCAAATTGTTTCTACTAATGTAAATGGATAAATGTTTATAGCTAGTTTTTCATTATACTGAAAATTTTATTTTATTGATCTTAGAAACGAGCAGCCGTTCAACATCTTTACTTGGGAAGGACCCCACCTTTGTTCACTGACATTCGAGTACTTTGCGACTCTACTGAGGATGACCATTTGGTAATTTTATTAGCCTTGCCTCTGAATTAGAGTAATTTTTTAATGGAAAATCTGTGGTTATTGTTCTATTACCGGGGAGAAGACTTGTATCATTTTTTTGTTATTACCAAGAAGACTTGACTGTTCTGTGCATTTAGGTTTTGGAGCTCGGCCTGAATTTTTTGACAGGTGATGATATGAGTGCAATACTTGCTGCAAAACTGAGGAAGAGACTTGGATTTGGAATTGTGGCAAAGATGCACTTGACTGGCTTGCATGTTGAAGGGAAGGTATGCATCGGATAGCTTTTTATGTAGTGACCTTACCATGTTACCAACGATCTATCTTTAATGAGCCATTTCCTATACATCCCTCCCCTCTCAAAAGTATCCTGCCTTTTTAAAAAGAATTGTCGTTATGTGACAGCCCTTTGTGAGATCTGTCTAACATAACTTAGACATGCTTGGTATATTTTAGGGCATTTGTCTAATCTTATACAAATACTAATTTGTTGCCTGCCTGATGGTATGGAGTATATAAGATTTAGGATAAACTTTTGGCGTGAATGTTAAATACGGTCATATATCCTCTCTTGATAATTTATATAGTAGTGTACTTTTTTTTAGTTTTGTTTATAAATATGTATCTATGTTATTATTGACTTGAAATTATTTTTATTGAACTAAAAGTATTTTTAGCAAACTAATATTATTTTTACTGATTAAAACTTATTTTTACATATTCTCTATTTTTTTGAATAAATTAAATATTTCTATTAACTTAAATTACTAAGTATTTTTACCAATATTCACTATTATTTTTTAAAATAAATTATTATATTATAAATGGATCGTATTTTAAAGAACTTTTTAAAACGAATTTTATGATGGAAATAGTACTGAATTATAAGATATTTATTAAAAGTTATGATTAATTTTGTATATATGAAATATTAGAAGTATATCGTTACTCTATACAACATTTTTATCTTTAAAAATGTATCCAAACTTCGCTTACTTAACATCATATATGTTACAATAATACCTATTTATCGCCTACGTGGCGTGACACTTAGCGAAAAACTAGAATGCCAAGTGTCGCTGTCTCATGGCCTGGCTGCGAGACTGGTTTTATTTATTAGAGATATGATATATTACAATTTGAGTTTTTATTTAGATACTTTAAATTTTCAATTTTTGGTGATTTATTTAGGGCATGCTTGGATTGAGGGTAGTATATTAATGGGGTAAAAAATGTCGAACCAAAGAAAATAAATATGGATTTAGGTAGATGTGAGGAAAAATGAGGTAGTGATGGTGTGATTACAAGGAAAAAGCGATAATGATGGTGTAATGATAGGGGGGAGGGGAAACTATTACCCTCATTTTGGGGTAATTATTATCCTAGTTTGGTGGGTTCTTTGATCATGAATTGTGACACAATTCTCAACAAGAGATACCGATGGTGTAATGATTAGGGAGGGAGGAGTGGTCTTTTGATTCCATAGAATAACCAAGGAATTCTCAAAAAGAGATAATGATGGTGTAATGACGAGGGAGGGAGGAGTGGTGTTTTGATTCCATAGAATAACCGAGGGTTCTTTGGAAGGTTAACAAATAGTGGTTGAAGCATAAGGAATAATTTTATTTAGGCCTAAAGAGTAGTTTGTAAAGGCGTATTTCCCACCCTGTCCAACCTGATCAGCATAGTAGTATATGAAGGAGCATTTCTTACCTTATCTGCCTGATCGAAAGTGATTGCCTTTGGGGGATGGGGCGAAGCTATTTTGTTGGTGAGTTTTCTTCGTAGATTTTGGACCTTTGGCGCGCCTGATCGGATGAATTCGCTTGATGGGGTTGGTCAGCAGCCCGGTTACTAATTTATCAACCTTTTCTTTTAAGTAACGAATTTGATTTTCACCGTTCAATTGTAATCCAAGGGCTATTAGTAGAAGTTATATAGAGTAGTAGCAAAGTATAAAAGGGGGAGAAAAACACTTTTAAGAGGAACTTTTTGCCTATCATTTCATTTATGAGATTTTATTCTCGAACTAGCATCTTTGTGAGCTTTAATCTTTGTGATTATTTATATCTTTGTAATCATATAACCTTGATCTAAAATTGTGTAAGATTCAGACTCAGAAGCTTGTTTCAATTAACTCTGCAATTATTGATTCAAGTCTTTAACTTTTTGCTTATATATTTTGTTTCTGATAATTCCTATAACACAAAATCCCAGGAAAAAGTAGCATCTAGAAGGTGGTAAAATTATGTAAAGTTTTTTTTTTTTTTTTTTTTTTTTTTTTTTTTTTGAGGATTTCACATCAGCAAGTGTGAACTATTTACCTCAAAATACACATACCTACCATATTCATCTTTTGAACATGAATTTTCTTGTAAGCCTGAGTGCCTGACATTCCAGCTGGTATGTCTCTCATCTTTATAAAAAGTTGTGTGAACAGTGATCCCATTTAATTGCCTGGTTCACTTCTGTCACCTGCGCACAACATTTCCATGTTGTTCTTTCTAATGAAAGATAGACCTCAAATACATAAAGCACTCACTCTTAGGTACTTTTCTCCCATCTAGTTTCATGATCTCTTGATTGAGATCCTCTTATGCTTCTTGTTTATCATCCACATGGATTGGACCAATAATTCAAGGTACTATATCAACATACACCACAATATATCTTCTTATGTAGACATTGTCAACTACAGAGTAGCTGATAACTTATGCAATAGGAAAAGGAATTGGTAGAGATCCTTTGACGTTGCCCAACTGTTATGCGGAAATCTTCTCAAACATTCCTGCCTATATTATAATTGCTCTCGTATTCTTGTGCATAGTTATGTTGATATATTGCAGTATTTATAGTTCATCAAAGCTAGGCTCCTGCTAGAATTCGCCTACATTTTCCCTTCAGTATTTGTCCTAACAAATCTTATTATCGAATAATATACATATGTACATCGTACGATATTGGTCCATGAGTTATTGGCCATTTGGGTACCCGATTTTTCAGGGTCACAGATTTTTGAGTTAATTTTGATTATCCTGAGCTCTATCCCAAAAACATTTAAAAACAAGTATGTGTGTGTATTATAATCAAAACTTTTGCCAAAATTTCAGTAAATTTACAATAATAATTAAGGCAATTTTTCATCTTGATGTCTTCTTATTCTCTATTGCCCGATTTTAACTGACCACAGCCAACAACCAACTGAAATTTTAAAATCATCTAACACTTACTATAAAAACATTGCATCAAACATAGGTCAAGAATCGAGAAACTAAGGGCTTGTTTAGTTCACCTTATCTTTGCTTATTTGATCTAATTTGGTCTGAGGTGATCTGATTTGATGTGATTGTCTGATTTGACCAAACTTTAACCTTATGTGTACGATAATCTATAAAGAAGAAATATATCAAGTGGAGTCTTGTTAGATTCGTATTAATGTGTATTTTATTAATATATAATTTTTATATTTTTTTCATTAAGTAATTAAAGATATTTTGCGTTAAAAAACCTCACATAAAATGATGATCTGATTTGATTTGAACTTATTTTTTCTGGTCTAATCTGCACTTATTTTTCTAAAAGAAACTTGGTACCACCTGGCCGGTTGTGTCATGCCAAGGAGGATGTTGTTCATTTGCTTGATGACTTAGTGCTAATGTAAATCTGAACTACGTCATTAGCAAAAGAAATCGAAGGGATTGAAACTTAGGTGGTGCACTTGGTGGCTTATTAGAGGCTTGGATTTGTGTGTGAAAATGTGCGGCTCTATGCGAATGGGTTAGACCGGTAAAGTGCTCTTTTCTTTTTATAGTTTTGTATAGTGCGCCTCATGCACCCTTGGTGCAATTGGAGCCCATAGTCTTAGTGAACCTTGTAATTTTTATACATTAATCAAGGATTTGCGCATTTGGTGGGTCACAACTAACTTTTTTTCAACTTGTACTTGTACATCTTAAGAAATACAATAGCATACACTAGTCTTATGTGATAAAGTGTTAAGTATATAGGATATAGAAATGGGCTGTAACTATATGTATTTTTAGGGGATGTAGTTTTTTTACTTCAGCAGCAAAAGTATAAGATGAGAAGTAGGGAAAATAAATTGTAGATAAAGTAGCAAGCCAAGGGCAAAGTGCAAATAGGCAGAAATTATTAATGACTAGAGTCAAAGACATGGGTATATAAAGTTAGGAATGGTTGAGCAAAACCAACTCTGCTAATTAAATTATATTAGAATCTTAAAATTTGAAGGATTATTAAGGGGTGGCTATAGCCCGGTTAGGCCCCTTTAGATCTGCCAGTGGGTGGAGTGTGAGTTTAATTAGTGAGAGAGAAAGAAAGTGCTTGTTTTCTATGATGAGGGGCTTTAAAAGAGGAAAGTGCAAAATTGGGAAAAATAAACCTATCTTGTATGTGCCAAACATAGTCAAAAAACCAAAATTGCCCAAAATAAAAAAAAAATGAAAAAGTGTAAATGGTTTTCAATTACCCACATCAACTAAAATATCTAGCTTATGACCCTTTGACCTTTTTACCTGGTGGGTTGGGTAATTTCGGATTTTCAAAAAGTGGTCAATGTGTCATTGGAGTCATCAGAGTTAGATCCAGTTCTCCTGTCTAAGGTGGTATAAGAGATCTACGGTAAGCAAACTTACCTTGTATAAACAATCTAGGTTATGTGCCATGTCATGCCTAGCCAAGTCCATGCCCAAGCCCACTAGTTATGCTAGTTATGTGTCATGCTATATGGTGCCAAATTTTTCATAAGGGGGTCCCAGGCACAATTCAAGTTCACGTGCTGCCATGTATTGCTTGTGCGTTTATGCCGAATCTCACTTATTTTAGTATGTATTGTCACACATCACAGTAATATTTCTTGTCGTAGCATACCACCGGTTAATTGGCAGTGATATCTCTGATTAACCAGAGGTTATTTGAAAATTTAGATGTAAGCAAAATAAGTGACTAGGTGTTTCCCTTGGAACCTTGATTTGAACCAAAATTGAAGTATGTTTTTTCTTTAGAAGTGTAGGTAGCTTAACAAGTAATTTTCATTTTGGCTAAGAACATTAATGTTTTTAAGTTATTAGGGTGCCTAAATTATTTCCTTTGAATGACTACTAGCAATGGAGTAAGCATTACTTCTTCCATTCTTTTATAATTGCCACATTTTGATCTGGTTAAAACTCTTTATCCAATAAAAATCTTATTGCTGAACAGGGTCTGGGTCTTAAAGGGATTTTTCAGGGTCTTTTGAATTTGTAAATCTGTGTCTAGGGCCTCTAGGCTTGAACTTAGTACATGTTTGGCATGGGTGAAATTTAATTTTGAATTTGTTGGATAATCTAACATTTGAGGATTTTAGAATTTGAATCCACAGTTGACAGTTACAAATGTCCTTGTGCTCTGTTGATTGTTTTAGGTGCTGATTGGAGTGAAATTTCTACGCTCTTGGCCATTCATAGGACGATTGCGCGTGTGTTTTGCTGAACCTCCATACTTTCAGATGATTGTCAAACCACTCTTTAACCATGGTCTTGATGTAACAGAATTACCTGGAATCGCTGGGTGGCTGGTAAAAAATTTCCATGTCATGTTCCAATCAGTTTTATTTTTTCTATTGTCATCACTGTCTCATATTAACTCTTTGTTATAATTAATGATTGTGTCTTAGGATAATCTGTTGGCTGTTGCGTTTGAGGAGACACTTGTTGAGGTAATTTCTTATTTCTGCTCTTCTTGGCCAGCTCTTATATTGGCTATATGTTTGCGTAACTTCTATTATATATATGTATTTGTTCTAAAATCGAAGTGTACAATTTGGCAGCCCAATATGCTAGTTGTTGACATGGAGAAATTTGTATCACCTGAACCTGGTAAGTTATTCAGCATACTGTCTGTGCAGTACCTTATTAGCCTAGTGTGTATATACACACCAGGCTAATGAGGTACTGCAATAGTGTACATCTGTACAAATCAGTGAATTTGTTAGAAATTTACGGTGAATATGGGCCTGGCATTGAGAAAAGAATTGTGTGACCACAGCCATAAGGACGTAGACCTAAAACCATAAAGAAAGAGTTCCTTTATTGATGCTTAGACCAGCACCTTTTCGAATTCCAAGGTTATTGGTTTAATTAAGGTATCAACACTTGGGGGTGGCTGGGTGAGGATAGTGTTTTTTTTTTTTTTTTTTTTTTTTTGGGGGGGGGGGGGTGCGGGGTGGGGTGGTTGGTGAAGGATTTGTAAATGGCATAGGACATGAGAGTAAGAGGAACAAAGTTTTTATTTTTTATTGTTTATTTTATTTTTTTTTAATTTTTTTTGGGGGTGGTCAAAGGAACTAAGTTGGATAACATAGAAAGATCACATGAGTAGTTGTATTCTTATTTTTTCAATTCATGAGGAACTAATCAAGAATTCAGGAGTGTGGCTAATCAGTGCAGGAAAAGAGAAAAGACTTGACCAAAATATAATGTAGTCATTGTTGGTTGTTGACTTAGAAGTTGTGTTGATTAAAGTAAGACACTATATATGTGCTGGTCCGTAATCTTTATATACTTATGAAGTTTATTGGCTATGATGAAACAGAAGAGTGGTTCTCTGTGGATGTGAAAGAACCTCTTGCTTATGCAAATGTGGAAGTTGTTGAAGCAGTGGAGCTGAAGGCTTCAGACCTAAATGGTCAGTGCCCATTTTTTCTTTCTTGTACATAGTTTTTGTTAATTGGTTATAACTTGTAATTTCTGGTTACTCTTCAGGTTTTTCTGATCCTTATGTGAAAGGGCAACTTGGTCAGTACAGATTTAGGACTCAAGTACAGAAGAAAACATTGACTCCTAAATGGCAAGAGGAATTTAAGGTCCCTATTTGTTCATGGGAAGGACAAAATGTTCTAGCAATGGAAGTTCTTGACAAGGACCGTTTTTCAGTGGATGATGTTCTTGGGTTGGTCCTCAATCTCTTATGCTGTCACTTTATGGGTATATTGATGATCCAACTAATATAACAATTGAATCATACTTACTCCATTCTATTTTAATTGCAACATCAGAAAATTCACACTATTTTCACCAACTCCTTTGACCGTCTTTTGTGATATATGCATTAGGAAAAACATAGTTATGTGGGGTCTTGTTAGATTCGTCGTTATTTGTACTTTCAAATCATGTGGGCAACTGCTAAAGTGTAATTAAAGATATTGATGGTATAAAATGTGCAATGGCAAGCGTAAAACCCCCAGCGTTACAATTAAAAAAGAATGAAGTATATTGGTTGGTATTCTATGTGTATTCTTGCAGTGCACGCAGTTTGATTAGCCTTGTCATGTCATTTATTCAGTTTATTACTATTATTTACTTTAGAAAATATGAGATAAAAATAAATAAAAGATATGAGAGCTAAAATGATTACTTATTTATTTATTCAGTTTGATTTTGGCTCATATTGCCAAACTTGAATATCACTATTATCTCGGCTGTCTCATGTTATATTGCTTATTTATTTTTCTGTCTGCCCCACTGATTAAGGGTAACATAAAGTTTAAGAGGATTGGTCAGAAACTAGTGTGACAATGGTTAAGTGGTGATTAGAAAGTACAAGGTAGAAATTAGTGGGTTCTGGCTTATGAGTACGATTTTTTATTTTATTTTTTTCATTAATGGCTAGAGGAGCAATTCTAGCTTTGTAGTTTGTCATTTCTTCTTTATAAGCCATCACTCTTTGTACACCCTGTCACCCAGATGTGTGCTATGGACTGATTTTCTGATTTGGTGGCATATAAAAATAATCAAACAATGAGATTGAAGGAAGGTTGGAAGTTTGATTGAATATGAGTCAAAGGTTACAAGATAAGTAATAGCGTGAGGCTATTAATCTCTGTAACTTTAGGCTACTAACTCATACAAAAGTCTAATTCATTAAAAGCATGCCCTTCCCATTGCCTTCCCCTTCCCTATATACTACAACTCACTACAAGGAGAGTTGACCACAAAAGTCAGTCACTCTTTTCATTATTATTTGTCTTTTACTAATAAAAGTTAAACATTAGAAAATGAAAGTTAAACATTAGAACTTCAAGCTGTCTTGTTACTTCTTAAGGATGCTTCACATGTCTTCCTTGGTTGTTGTTGCCTTCATTGGTTGTTGTTTCCCTGCTGTCTCTTGTTCCTCCTTGTGTAGGTTCGGATTGCTGGTACAAGTGGGCTTGGGCCACTTGGGTCCATTGCAATGTGCAATGATTCCTTGTACTGTTGGTGAACCGAAGATGTGTGAACAAAGAAAAAGCAATTGCATTTTCTTCTCATGCATGAATCGGCTACTTCCATGCTTTTCCCAAGGGGACAGATTATTCTTTAGGCTTTCTGATGATGATTGACTGAATGAAAGTGCTCACTTAATTGTGTGCTTCTTGTCAATTGTATTATGGCACAGATCTAGTTGTCACATTCACACATAGGATTAAGGGTGAATAATACCTTAATATTTTGGGGCAAGTTTTCTCAAATCCAACCCCTCTCCACTCTCCCTGACCCAATTTTGTGTCTTTAAAAGCACTGGGTAATGTTGATTTTGATTTTGGCCTGAATCAAGTAATGCATGCCTATGAAACGAGCTTTTGAATGTGCCCATGCATTTGGGTTATAATTCCAAAATCAGTATGACTTGTCTTGAGTATGCTAAATGATCCTTCTTTTGTAACAGGAATTGTTCAGTAAACATCAATGAGCTTAGGGATGGCCATAGGCATGACATGTGGTTGCCTCTTCAAAATGTTAAAATTGGAAGATTGCATCTGGCTATTACTGTTGTTGAGGCAATTGGAAAGGTTATTTATATATGTGTTTATTGGGTTTATTGGTTTTTAGTGTATGAAGTCATTTTTTGTATATATAGGAAGTGCTGTAATTATTCAGTGTTCACACCTATTAAGAATGCTTTCAGGGCAAGGAGCAGACATCTGGAGAGTTGAGGTCAGCGTCGAAGAAATCAGAATTACTTCAAAGTGAACAGGCTGAGCAAGGACCTATCTCAAGTGCTAACCCACAACCATTTGCTGATACATTTGAACCAATTGATATTGAAGGCCAGAAGGAAACTGGAATGTGGGTCCATCATCCTGGAGGCGAAGTTTCTCAGACATGGGAACCGAGGAAAGGAAAGAGCAGACAGGGTGATACCGAGATCCACTCAGTAGACTCACCAAACTCATCTCTGCTAGTTGACAGTAGTAATAGTGGTGATGAAAGTAAGGAAGATCACAAAACCAAGCGAGGTAACATAATTCAAAGGGGTTTTGACAAGGTATTCAACAGGCATCATGAGAGTGAAGAAGATCAAATGAAGAGCTCTGAGGTTGCTGATCCATCGTTGCATTCTAATGTCAAAGCTGCTCACATTAAAAAGGTCGGGGTCAATCTTATAGTGGATAAAGATCATTCTGGAACTCTTTCTGCTGACGGAAAACTTGGAGGGTCAAGTAATGAGGGAAGTGGAGCTGAGAATTCAGGCAAGCATGATGTGAAAGACAGGGCGAAGAAAATTTTACATAGCGCAAAAAATTCCGCACGGCATTTGAAGCAGTCATTTTCAAGGAAAGGTTCAAAGAAAAAGGAACATGCTTCAGAACAGGAGATTCCTTTGGACTCTGATTCCCAGAAAAAGGAAGATATTTCAAAACAGGAGATTCCTTTTGATTCTGATTCGTCTGATGAAGACTCATTATCGTCCTCTCTTTATGATCAATCGCTCAAGGGAATTCCAATTACTTCAAGCTTCATTTCAAGAAGTGGTATTGACGATGCAGATCATTTGGAACTTGTTGATCAGTTGGAAAATGTTGATCATTTGGAACATGTTCAGACAAATGATCCAGTTAAGCCTAGCCTTGATGAACCTGTTCGGAAAAGTACTGACAGCCATATCAGTGGTTCCGAAGGAGATAAAGTGTTGCCAGCAATTGAAACCAAACCAGACCTTTCATTGGCACCTTGATTATTAATCTCTGTTGCACTTCATTTAAGCAGCATCAGACTGAAAAATACCAAAGGTTTTTCTTTTTTTTTTTTTGGGCGGCAATATATACGACGATACAGGTTGTATAAAAATGTAGAATCGGTGTTCATTACAAACTCATGTATGTGAATTTCGCACATTGCTTGTTACTGTTATATTCTAGTGATTACAAAATACCAGTGGTACAAACTCATGTATGTGAATTTCGCACATTGCTTGTTACTGTTATATTCTAGTGATTACAAAATACCAGTATACCAAGTACATTTTGTGTTTTGAATCTTGGACTGTATAGCAACCGAGAGTGTTCTGGAATCGTGCCTCACTTTTCCAGCACAAGGATTACCGCATTACCCCCATAATCTTAGAGCTTGTTCACTTCACCTTATAAAAATAAGTTTCAGGTCTAATAAGTTCAAATTAGTTATAATAAGGTCTAATAAGTTTAGTAAAATCTAATAAGTTTAACAAGGTCTAATAAGTTCAATAAAATCTAATAAGTTTTAATAAGTTAAATAAGATTTAATAAGTTTTAATAAGATGAGTAAGTTCTAATAAGTTATAATCAAGTCTAATAATAAGGTTTAATAAAGCATCAGTCAGGTATAATAAATTCCAATAAGGTCTAACAAGTTCAATAAGGTCTAATAAGTTTAGATAAGATCAATTAAGAGAATACACCTTTAATGTAATTTCAAAAATAGGAATCATTATCTGCACGAAAGCATTACATCGTTTTTTGTTGTCTTTAAACAATCTTCGGGTTATGCTATGAAATCTATTTATGTTAGCAAATGTTAGAACTTATAACGATCTAATGCATGATGGCATAACAAAAAGAAGTTCAAGATTTCCAACATTCATAATATGGTTGATAATCATTTAATTCTTTATCATTAACCAGTCTATGACATTCCTAATTCTCATGATTGTTAACGGTTGCAACTTTGCCTCTAATTGCCCTGGCTAGTTCCCTGGCTCTGTGAAAATGGTTTAAAAAAAGCGGTTTCCAAATTTCGAATTCAAATTGCTAATCCTTCACAATTTCACTGAAAGATACAGCCACAGGAGCATCATGCCTAGGGAAAATCTTTCCAAGAACAATTCTCCACATTCCCATCCCGGGCACGAATCCGACCGAAACCATACTCTTTAAGACACTTTCCACATCTCCAAGCAAATTCTCTTCACAAAGTCCCAACACCAACAACTTGTAAGACAAAAAGCTAGGAATCAAGCTCTTAGACCTCATCTTATAAACAAAGTTTTTGGCATCAACAAATTTCTTAGATTCGAGCAGTCCATACAAAACCTCCTGATAAGTTCCTTTATTAGGATCACAACCCATGAGCCTCATTCTATCTAATAACTCCATTGCTTCCTCAATCCTCCCTTGTTTCTGCAAACCCGAAACCAATATATTAAACGATACTGCATCCGGAGAAACCCCTTCTTTTTCCATCCTATTAATCAACCCAAATGCCTCATCTACCATACCCTTTTCACACATACAATGCATTATAGTAGAATAAGTCATTTTATTTGGTTTGCACCCTTGTTTAGGAAATTCGTCGAGCACTTGGTAGGCATCCTCCAACTGCCCACATTTACACAACCCCTTAATCAAAATATTAAGAGTACAAGCATCAATCTCAACTCCAAGCTTAGTAGCACCCAGAAAAACCTCATAAATCACATCAAATTTCTTCGAAGACACCAAAAAATTCAGCACAAAATTGAAGGTTTTCGTCGAAGGCCAACAATTATACTCAGGCATATTGAAAAGAATTTCGATTACCCTTTTATCTAAACCACCCAAATTACCATAAATCTTGATCACATTATAGAAAAACTCATCAGAAATGCGGAAATTTTTCTGGGTTTTAATCTCCTTCAAAATACCATCAATTGCTTCAAATTTTTTTGCTTCACCAAGCTTGTTGATGATCACATTGAAAAGGGATTCATTAGGTTTGTAATCTTTGCGCTTTGAAATATGATCTAACATAGGAAGAACTGAATTGAGTTCTAATGAAGTGAAGATTTTAACAACTTCATTTGGAGATAACCAATCTTTGTGAAACAGTTTTTGTATGCTAGAAGATTGATCTGATGAACACGAAGATGATAATGGGGTTGATGAAGCATGTTTATGGATTAATCTTTGGTTGAATAGTGAGCTAAAAATTGTAAATCGAACTATATTTTGGGAAGTTCTGATACTGCGAAATACCATCAGTTCTACTCTTAACCGCTGGGAAGTGGGAACTCGAAAAATGACTAAAAATACTTAGATAAACAATTTATTTTTTTAAATTCTCAAATCATCAATAATACGAGTAGCTTAACCAATGCGTGGTTCCTATACCCAGGTGTACCATAAAACGACAGACCCAAATGAATAAAACGCGTGCTTATTAGAGTAGAGAAAGGTAGAAAGAACATCAGGTATAAATACAAAGTACACTACATTAAATATGAATATTCAGTTTCCTTTAATTTAGGAAAATATAATTATTAATTGATTTTTAATTACCCACATATTAGTTGTCATATCTGTTCAAAATATTTGACTTTTCCAAATTCATTTTTTCTCTCTCTTCATATTATTTTATACCAAAAAAAATTCAATCTTTTCTAAAACAAAACGTTCAAGTTTTAGCAAAATGTACATAAAGAGTAAAACAAAGTACATATATATATTTAGCAAATGTGCATGCGTAATATCAACATTGGTTTTAGCAACTTGATTTCAGCAAAGTACATAAAGAGTAAAACAAAGTACATATATATTTAGCAAATGTACATGCGTTTATCATATAATATCAACATTGATTTTAACACTAATACATATAATAAGTTAAATAAAAGAACATAACTAAATAATAAAAGGACTTCATCTTCAACATTAAACATATTGCTGTAAAAATAAATATATAATTATAAATCGATAATAAAATGTAAATTAGCAATAATACCTAGATTTAGCAATAAAAAAATAAGAATTAACAAATGAAAAGATAATCGATTAACCAATTTACCTTCATTTTCGTTTACGATATCCTCGAATTCACCTTCATTGTTGATATCATCATCATCATCACCAACAAATCTAGCATCAGAATCATGGCGAAATTTGGATTGATAAACCATTATTAACTTCTTCTACAGAGAATTCTATCGATCGGTCGACAAATTTCTCTCTGTATTTTTCTCTATCTGTAATTTTCTCTCTAAAATGTTTAAAAAATGAAAAATGTCAATTAAGGATAATTATAAAAAATTGAAAGCTATTTAAACGGAAAAAACTCCCTGAAATTAAGTTAGAATTTTTTTTTACAATAATTTAATTCGAGCAATTTAGTTACGCCACATCACCAGGTGTACCATGAGCATGGTGCATCCTGGTGTATTATACAAATTTCAAACGTCGTGATTAAAAAAAAACGAAGGAAGTAGATTAGCTCCGTATTCTTACTATGCATGCTTTAGATTTTTTTTTATTTATATACACCAACCATTGTTAAGTAAATATTAAAGGTATATAAACAACTTGTAACAATGACGGAGCATTTGGAATGTGGGAATGAGATTTTGGGGATTGAAATGTGAGAACGAGATTGAGAATAAATTGTTGGGAATATATAAAAATATGGCAATACTTTGTGGCAAATGAGAATAGGTAGGGAATAAATAATAAAAATACAAAATTGCCCTTACTAATCTTACTCCTCCCTTCTTTTCATTATTGGCAAAAATGATTTTCTTCTTATTCCCATTCCCATCCATTTATTACCTACTCTCCTTGGATAATAAAATGATGGGAATTCACACCATTTATTCCAAATTCCATTCCTTCTTTATTCCCAATTACATCTAACAAACAAGAGAATTTTTTTGAATTGTGATTAAAATTCCTATTCCCCATCCTTAATTCCCATGTACCAAACACCCCGTAAGGAGTACCAAACCCTCTCTCTCTAACAAGGAGCTTCTCTCTCTAGATGAATACTAGAGCCTATCACCCCAGCCACCATTAATCACCGACAACCGCTTTCTTCCACCACTCAACAATTAAAATCAATCAAACCAAGTTTTCATAGTTTTTACAACTATTCGGTCGGAAACCCCAATTTTCTTGAACGAATTGGGGGTGCTCAATTCGCTGTTCTTCCCTCTGTGTTCATTTCGCTGCCGCTTCTTGATATTCACCGGCGGCTCTACAAGTTCATCGGTGACACTACCGTATAACCGGCGACGGCTTTTCCATAGTCAATTTCAGTACTCCATCAGATTAAAGCTTAGTATTGCTTTTTAATTCAGTGGGTTTTTTCGTAATCATATGCTCTGTAATTCGAGGATTTCACTTTCTTAGCTCTGCTTGTTACCCCTAGTTTTTCGATTGCGCTTTCCTTGGTTTTCTCTTTCCCCTCTTTCAATTGAAATGACTTCACCTCAATATTCTGATTATCCAAGCCGGAAACAGTCTTGTTACAAACCCCACTACTCCAATTTCCATCGTCATCTAGTGCTCGGGAAGTTTGTAGACTATCGTCATTTTTCCGAACATCGAATACAAGATTGGGTGTCAAATCAGTGGATAAAATTTGGGGAAATTACAGTTCAGAAGTTCAATAATATTTTTCTGTTTCTATGTGAAGATGCCCGTGACAGAGACGCTATGTTGGAGCAGGGAGCTTCCGCGTACCAAGCGGCTCTTCTAGTTTTCAAACCTTGGACTTCAGGTAACTCAATCAGGGATATAAGTTTCAAGAAGGCTGCTATTTGGGTACAACTTAATGAGGTACCTCTGAACTTATGCGAGATAGATGTTGTTAGACCAATGCTTTCTATGGCTGGGAAAATTCCGTGTGTTGACAAACCCCTTCCAGGTTCAATTAGATGCTTGCTTAGAGTAAAGCTCCAAAATAATGTTTTCGAACTGTATTACCAGGTTTTTTCTTGGACCTTGGCAACTCTGAATTAAAATGGATTAATATCAGATATGAGAATTTGTTTATTCTGTGCTCTAGGTGTAATAGAGTTGGACATAGGAAGAATTCTTGTCTTTTGTCCTCTTATACGCCTTCTCCTTTGGCGGCTGATAGAACTGAATTGTGTACATCAACGTTTGATCGGGACCATAATCTCTCCAATTCAAATATTGGCCTAAAACGAACTGAAAGATTCAGAACAACTAGACTCAATCTTCTGAGTCTTCTCAAAGACATTGTCCCACCCTAACCCCAGAGTACCCAACTGAAAAAAAAGGCCCTTTATGTTTGATACTTCGTCCTTCTCCCCTTCGAGAAAAAGGAAAATGCACTCTGAATCCACAGAACATATTAACCTTCCTCCTACAATTCTTAGCCACAGACCAACCCCATCCCATTTCTCACCTTCTAGAAACTCCCTACCCAATTTTAGGCCCAGGATGTTTAATGTGTCATTCTCCTCACAAAGATCACATCCTCTCAGAACAGCCGAAACCTCCTACTAAGAGATTAGCTAGTTTTGGTCTGAAGCTGCGGAGAAGTGGAGAAAAGATGTGGGAATGGGTTTAGCATCACGGTCCTAAGAAACGGTTGAGTAGTGAGGCTGAATCTTCTACACCACCTTTACCTGATGATCAAATTTAGAAATCTCGTGAATCTAGTAGTCTTCTGTGTATCCTACCTTATAAGAAACGCAAAGGAATTTTGGTTTCAGTGTCTACAACAATTTCTGAGTGATCAGTGACCTCCCGTATCGGGTCACCAAAGTCTAAATGAAAGTCGGAGTTTGGAATTGTAGGGGTTTGGGATCAGAGGACTCCCCTAAAATTCCTTATATTTCTTCTCTAATCCGCTCTCATAGTTTGGATATAGTTTGTCTCTTTGAAACTATGGTGTCTGTTGATAATGTTGTACAAAAGTTAGCTTATTTGTCCTTTTTGGGTTGTGGTGGCGTGGATACTGATGGCCTTAGTGGTGGTATGTTTGTGTTTTGGTTTACTCCATTGGGTTTGGTTCCTATTTATTGATCTCAGAATGTGTTCCTCTGGAAATTGGTGCAAGGAGATGAAGTAAAACACGTAATGTTTGTTTATGAATCGCCTCATATTTGTTTTCGTTTGGAGTTTGATTACCAATATTCTTGAAACCATTCCATTTGTCGTCTTGATCGGTGATTTTAACCAAGTAGAATACCTCTCGGATAAATTAGGGGGTAGCTCTTCTATTCCAGGACAGATGGATTTTATTAGCTAGCGTATGAGGCTGGATTTGGTACATGCTCCGTTTTCTGGTCCAAAGTTTACTTAGACTAATAACAGGATTGATTCAGATCCAATTTTTGAAAGGCTGGGTAGGGCCTACGTCTCTTCTGCTTGGTTTCTAGATTACCCCGACACAAAAGTTTTACACCAGCCTATCCTATTTTCGGATCACGCCGCTATTATTCTCTCAGATACAATCGACTCAGGATATGTAAAGCGTCCGTACAGGGTGGAATATTGGTGTTTATCTGCGTCTAAGGTTCGTGAAATTGTACACTCTACTTTCACACTGTTTTTTCCACGCTCCCCAATGTTTTCTTTATCTCGAAAATTATCAGTTGTTAAAGACTGGTTGCTAGCTTGGTGTGTTTCTCATAAGAAGGCTTGGGGGATTAATTAGAAGACTCTAGTTACGGAAGTTCAGCAAGCTTACTCGGTCTTGTCTTCCCGTATCGATCGTTGTCGTTTTCTCACTACAAAGGACGAGAAGGTTGCAAAGGCAGAAGCAACTTATCTTTTATGGCGTTAACGTGCGAAGGTTAAATGGGATGCGTTAGGTGATTCTCACTCTCGTCTCCTCTTTTCATTGGTGTAGTCTCGACGTCGTCGTAATAAGATTTATGGTTTGAGAGATTTGTTTGGGGTCTGGCAGAGAGATTTTGATTGCATCACTTCTTTATCTTACAACTTTTATAAGGATCTTTATTCAGTCTCAAACAATGCTTCTTCCCAGGATTCTGATTAGTGGGAGCAATTACAGTTGCCGTCTCTCTCTTCCCTGATGGGTTCTCCTCAGCTTTCTTCAAAGCTCACTGGTCTGACGTTGGTTCGTCCGTTGTTTCGGCGGTTCAACACTTCTTTGCTTATGGGTATATGTTAAAGGAATAGAATCGTACCTTCCTTGTTTTGCTTCCGAAAGTAGAAAATCCCGAACTAATCTCAGTTTCGGCCGGTCTCTACAACGTTATTTATAAGTGTATTGCAAGCTTCGCCTAGTTTGGTGGCTGATTACCAGAACGCGTTTGTTCCAGGTCGTCTTTTAACAGATAACGCGTTGATTGCTCATGAGGTCCTCTCTTTTATGAACAATTTAAAGGCCAAGAAGAGGTTTTATGCAACCATCAAGTTGGATATGAATAAAGCTCATGATCGAGTTTGTTGGGATTTTTTATTTCGAGTTCTATAGGGTTATGGTTTCCCGCCTTACTAGATTCATATCATCAGTCAATGTGTTTCAACAGTTTCTTATCAAGTGCTGGTTAATGGCAATCCTTCCCCAGCCTTTCGGCCTCAGTGTGGGCTTCTTCAGGGGGATCCGCTTTCCTCTTATTTGTTTGTCCTCTGTATGGAGTTTCTATCAGCTATGCTCAGGAAGGCCGAAAGGGACTCTCTTATTCAGGGGATTAGTATTCCCAGGGGTGCCCCTTTGATTTCTCATTCATTCTTTGCGAACAACTCTTTGTTGTTCTTGTAGGTTTCTCCTTCTGCTTGTGACAATCTTATGGCTCTCATGACTGAGTTTTGTGGATTGTCGGGACACGTGATTAACTTGCAAAAGTCGTTCGTTAAGTTCAGCTCGAACACTCCGGAAGACTATCGAGATTACTTGTCGTGTAGCCTGAAACTTCATTGCAAGCCCACTCTTGGTTCTTATCTGGGGTTGCCTGTTGAGTTCAGCCGCAGTAAAGTGGCTGACTTTGGATTTCTGATTGACACAGTGGTCAAGTGGCTTTCTGATTTTGTGGCTGTTGGTTTGTCTGCTGCTACTAAATTAGTAATCATTAATTCGATTTTGGTCGCTTCTTTCAATCATATATTGTCGGTTTTTAAGGTTCTGCCTTTGATCTGTTCTCGCATTAACAACTTGTTGGCTCGATTTTGGTGGAAATCAGATTCCAAGTCTCGGGGTTTAGCGATGCGTTCAAAGTCTCTTCTTCATTTGCTTATAGGGTTGGGAGGTTTGGGTATTCGTTAGTTGGAAAGCTTTAATTCAGCGCTTCTCGCTCGGCAGTGCTGGCACATTCACCAACACCCTCAACTTTTGGTTTTGACACTGCTTACTCTAAGTATCCTTCCCTTCGTTCTTTTCAGACTCGGACAATTCCTCGATCTTCTTGGGGTTGTCATAGCCTTTTAACAGGTCTGTCCACTCTGGATCGAGGAATAGCTTGGAAAGTCGGTTCGGGTTCTACGATTCAGATACTTGAGGATGATTGGGTCCCAGGGGACCTGTTGTTTTTCGTAACGGTTCTGGTGTGTTGGATCCTCCGACACATGTTTCTTCTATTATTGATCTACATTCTTACGCGTGGGATTCGACCTTAGTTCATCGGCTTTTTAATACTCCTACGGCGCTTCGCATCCTGGCTTTGGATTGCCCTCATCAGCCGATGGACGATTTCGTCTACTGGAAATTTTCTAGGGATGGATCTTTCACTACTAAGTCTGCTTACGCTATGTTGCTTAGTCGTTCGGTGTCTTCTGGGGTCTCGGGTGTAATTCGGCCTCTTAGTGGAAGCATTTCTGGGGGTTGCCTCTTTTGCCGAAAATGCAGTGTTTATGTTGGAAATTACTTCACAATGCTCTGCCTTTCTCTGGGAATCTGCAGCTTCGGGGAATTCCGATTGATCCAACTTGTGTGTTCTGTTACAAAGAACGTGAAACGACAGATTACCTGTTCCGCGATTGTTCCTTCACGTCTCATCTTTGGGCTTGTGCTCCGATTGTCTTTTCTCCTCCTGTTTTGCATGGGAAACCTTTTAATGATTGGTTCGTCGACACAGTCTCTGAGTTTCGTTCCTCTCAGAATTGGGACGGTTAGGTTTCTTTTGTCTCCTTCTGTTGGGCAATCTAGTTTGTGCGTAACCACAAGATCTTCAAACAGGCAATGTTGTCTCATGGCGTGGTTTTCCATTTGGTGCAGGAATGGATTTCTAGGAGTGTTTCGACACATGAATTCAGGTCCCTCGTTCGCTCGTTAGAGAGACCTTTTCCTTCTACTTCGTTACCTTTTGATTCTTGCTATCTGCAGGGTGACTCTTCCTTTGACTTTGATGTCTGCATTATTTTTGATGGGCTTGGAGTGCTCGGGATCGTAGCGCAGGAGCAGGTTAGATTTTTAGGGATGTTTTTTCAGATTCGGTGTTGGGTGGTTGCTCCAGAGCTTGTCACTCCTCTTCGACCCTTCAGTCTGAGTTACAGGCGTGTTTGACCGACTCTCTCTTCAAACTCTTCAAGAATAGAGTCACACGGTGTACTTGTTGAGCTTGGGGGATGGTCTACTACTACGTTAGCCAGCACCTCTAATGGGTCGTCTTCCCTATACTCAAGATCAAGTGCCATGTGTTTGGTCTGAGCCATGGTGTCTTGCACAGTCACAGAGACGGTCGGATTCAGGGAAGAACAAGGGTGACCCAAACACTCAGAGACGGCACCCCCAGTCCTAGATTCAGCCATACCTGAAGATCGGCTTACTACTGTCCTAGGCTGTGCCGTGTCTGTTGATGGTGAATCCATTTATTCAATGCAATATGCACAAATGATAAAAAGGATAAAAGAGTTGAGAAGAAGAGAGACGGTTACCTCAAAGGATTTTTTCTGGAAAAAAAGATGTCAGGCGTTGACTGGCTGTATCAAACGGTAATATCAGATGGTATTATCAAATTTGAAATCACAGACGGTTATCAGAGTCTCTCTCTCTAGAAAATTCTCTCTCAGTTTTCTCTCTCTAGACTTTTGTAAAAATGTCAAAGATGAGAGGGGGTAAATTCCTATTTATAGAGGGGTAAATTCAGGGGCATCCTTGTAATTTCCCCAGAAGGTGAACAGTTAAAAATTGTTGACCAATGCCCGCCTGATAGATGTCACAGGCGCCACGTGGCACGCCACGTCACCCCTCTTGGCACGCCACGTTACCCTTCTGAGGGACAAATGATTTGGGTAAAAATACCCAGGCCATGTGGCCTAATTAGAAGGTGACATGAGTCACCCTTAGAGAGGTCCCAAGAGGACCAATCACCAGCTGACACGTGGCATCCCCTATCATTAGGGAAAAAGGCTGCCTTCAAGACCTGAATCCCGATGCGCCGTAAAAGCAGCGCAACCCATTTACCTAGGTTGATAACCTAGAAAAGGGGCGCTGATTCCCAATGCCCTATAAATAGGGACATTTACCCCATTTTGGGAGCACGTTCATTCATTACATCATTCAATACTCCCTTACATCAGAGAAAACACCAGATCTCGGGATCCGAAAAGATTCTTTTACTTTCCGCACATTTACCCTACTTCGACTCTTTACTAACTTGATTGTCGGAGGCGGAACACCGAACCCCCGAAGCTTCTGTTTGTCTGCAGGTGCAGTCGAAGAGCAATCAGTCTTGGTGAAGTAACTCTCCCTTAGGACATCTCGCCGAACAATAAGAATAATTGATTAGGCAATGAATCGATTTGGCTAGGTGCTTGTACCTAGCTGATTTAATTATGACTACAAAAAATGCATGATCTATTTCAGTTGTTGTTGGAATGTTGTATTACTTGGATAATTGCTTGATATTATTGTCATAATAAAGCTGCTTATCATTACAGTGTGCGTTCGATGGTTTTAGTTTCATGTGCTTATTTGATCTGCTTTATGTGAATGATGGTTCAATGGATTTTTGTTACCTTTTTTTTTTTTTTTTTTTTTTTTTTTTTTTTTTTTTTTTGGTACACTAGCTAATTTAAGTTAAGTAGTGTAGACCATATTCCAATTTTTAGCTAGCTAGCTCAATGAATGTATTCAGTAACCTATTTATATGGTGCCCTTTCTTCTTCTTCTTCTTTTTTTTTTAAAGGATGATGACGAAGATATGAAGGTTATTGTAGTAGTTATAGGTTTTATTATGATAATAGTAGATGCATGGTATGGTCAGAAGTATAGGGTTAAGGAGGTAACATGGAATGAGAGTGAGCATACGTACTCTAACTAGAGCTACTTGGATGAACACTTTAAAAAATGATAGGATTGTCGAGAGCAGTTAAGGCTTGACATAAGCTGTTTTAAGAAATTATGTCATATATTGCAAACTAAGGGAGGTTTAGAGACACGATAAAAGAGATAGTTGCATTGTTTCTTCGTATTCTTGCCCATGATTTGAAAAATAGAAAAATTCAAGCTCTCTTTGCTTATTCTAGAGAGACCATGAGTCGTCAATTCCATATAGTCCTCCGATCTATTTTGAATATTGAAAAATATTACACAAGCAACCACTAGTTTTGTCGAGGATAATAAGTGGAATGGTTTGAGGTAATATCAATATGACCTATAGTTTTAACGATAGGGATTTCTTTTTATTAGGCTAAGTTATCTATTGTGAAATTTAATGCTAGGGTGTTGTTGAAGCTATTGATGGGTCACACATTAAGATGACGGTCCCTTTTGAGTATCGTCCTCGCTATCGAGATAGGAAAGGCGACATTAGTACTAAGGTCTTAGAGACTTGTGATTCAAATCTTTGTTTCACATATGTCTTACCCGCCGATTAAGAAGGGTCCGCATCAGATCCTCGTGTGTTTCGTGACGCGTTAAGGAGGCCTAATGGTCTTAAAATACTAATATGTCTATTTTATATAGTGATTTACCCTCGTCCCTTGGTCATATTTAGGAGTATTTTTGGCTCTACGAACTATTTTTATTACTAATATCCTTTTTCTAGTGTTTTCGTAACTTTGGTATTGTTTTATTGGAAATTGCAGATTTGGAGGCATATCCCGATATTATTTAGCCACTACGAGCATTGGATGTGGAGAGCATTCATATGACCATCTTTCGTAGCCCAAGACTAAATATTCCGGTGACTAAGGACTTGGTTTGTGGAATTGGTCCAAGCAATGGATCGAGGAAGAAGAAAGAATTGGGTTGTAGCCTAAAGGAAGAGAAGATAAGGATCCGATCTAGAGAAGACCAAGCTCGATTGGGCGGCTCATTGCTCGATCAGCCGGATGCTCAGCAGACAAGGGAGAAGCAAAAAGGCGCGCCCGATCGGGCAGCCTTATGTCCGATCGGGCGCGTGGTTTTCTGAGGAGAGATAGAAGTGTTAATTCTCTCTTTTGTTAAGCTTAGTATTTAAACACTTTTAGAAGCTTTTATTAGGGGCGTTTTTTAGATTGTGGTTTCATCATTATGTTTTTAGAGAGATTTTAAGTTGGAGATTATTGTTGAACTCAAGATTTCCCTTTTAGTGCAATTTTCATATTTCCTTCATTCGGTATTATTTTCTCATCTCTTTTATTGCTTTAGTTATTGCTTTGATTTTATTAGCTTTGATTAGTTTAGATTTAATTATGTGCGAGTAGTTTAATTCTAGGGTTCTTGGGGGATCCATAATTAATATGAAGGGATAAATTGTTTTGGTTGATTATTGATATTGCATGATAATTTCTTATTGAATTGTTTTAATTCTTTGCAATTGGATTATGAATCGAGCAGATGTGATTTGATTGTAAAAGAATAGCAATACTGAATTGATGAATTGAGCAGATGTTAAATTGATATTAAAAGCTATTTTTAATAGAACTTAGGTCCAGTAAATTGCGAGAGCCTGTTAGATATATGTTGATTAATAAATTGCGAGAGCCTGTTAGATATATGTTGATTAATAAATTACGAGAGCATGTTAATCATGTTAATTGTAATGTCAATTGTTGATTGTTATGTTTTATCACACATTATTAATTATTTGTGAATCTGTGACCCTAGGCCTTTATTATTGATTATTACCTTAATTTAATTATTGTCATAGTATAATTTTCACAATTTTTATTTGTTTCCTGATTGTTTAGATTATAATAATTAATTAGGAATTGAAGAACGTTGTTTTCCTGTGGATTTGACCCTGCTTCCCTATCTATATTAGTTAGTGATCTAGGAATTACTTTTGATTAGGTGAAACGACTTTAGCCTGTCAAATACCAAGAAGTAAGAGTTTAGATATTTTTTTTCTCATAACTTAGTTATTTTATATTGAATCTTAAATGACTAATCTAATTCTTACCTCTGTTTTTTTAAGTTGACACGTATTCCTCTTTAGGAAATTTATTTTTAGTTGACACGTTTCTTATTTAAGTAAGTTTTATACCTTACATTTACTAGTGTACCCCACTTGCTTTATCATTCTCTCTCCTCTCCTTAATATGTGTGCCTAAATTGAACGCGTTAACTAAATGAAAACGAAGGAAGTATTTGATAATGCAAACAAATACTTGCTTGTGGATTTCGGCTTTTCACACTGTTTAATTGTTATACGTGAGAATCAGCTTTGATACAAATTTTTAGTTGAGACGAACTACTACAAGAGGGGTGGTGAATTGTAGTAAGTTCCTAAGTGACTACTTTTCGTAGAAACTAAAACAAAACCAATAAGAACTTGAAAACACGTAGCGATATTTAAGAGGAAACCTTCCAGGGCCCAACTGGATGGAAGTAAAACCTTGACCCTCCAAGGGATTTCAATCGCCAAACTAATTCACAGTAATAGGGAAATACTCCTAGTTACAACCTATTATATACAGACTTTCTCATAAGTTCCAAACTGAACTTGCTACACGATAGAACCCAATTCTATCCATCTTAAGTCCCTGACTCAAGTTCCACTCATAAGTACTCCCAGAGCACTCAACACTTAGCTTCACACTAGAAGCCTACTCACTGTATGCTTAATATAATCACTCACCCAAATCCCAAAACAACACAAACAGTTAAACTCTAATATGTGATTGAAAAGCTACACATGAAACCCAAAACTAATGTGATAAAGCTCTAAACTTTTGGCGAACTTAGCCTTAAGTGCTCTCGAGGTTTTCACGCATAAAACTCACACTTTACTTAGAATATGAACTCTTCTATTTATAAGAGGCGTTCATACACTAAGTAAGGTTTAAAAAAAAAAGATAAACATTAAATCTGTCGTAGCATTAACCCAATAAGAAATGAATCATTTTGTGAAATCCTTAATGAAAACCAAATAGAAATTAAGTTTAGAAAAAGATAAATATTATGTAAACCATTTTTTATAAGATAAAATTATTAGAAGATCTTTTTCATAAACATTAAGCTATCTTTTATAAAACTTTCAATTGTATTAGCTTGTCAAGCTTTATCATGTTTCTATAGATCTCATGCATATTACTACATCACATTTTAACAACAACAATCCTATTGAAAATAAACTTATCATAAACCTTAATGAAAGTCTTCAAGTTTATCGCTAGATAGTATCATTGAACTCTGCGTTGCTTATACGAACTTGAGTTCTTCGCAGACTAGGATTGGAATCCTATTGTCTTCTCTTCTTCAACATCTTGCTAGAACTCGCAGACCAAGTTCCTCTAGAATTTGCTGTCTTCAACGCAGTCCAAGCTTATCTACTTAACTTATTATCCTGCTCTTATTAGGTAGCTTCTCTTTGTGCTTCTGTTAGGAAACACTTTTCTAGTTCCAATTTGGAACTCTTCTTCTATTCTTTCTATTTTTATCTTATTTCTCTTAGTAATCTTCTTAGCGAGATTACTCTTCCGTCCACTCCATGAGTCTACTTCACCTGCACTAGTTCAACACTTACGGTGTGTTTGGATAAAGAAATGGGAAAGAAAAGAAGGGGAGGGAGGTGAAGGGGAGGGGAGAGAAAGGGAGGGGATGGAAGAAAGATGAGTTGTCCTTCCAAATCTCTCCATTATTGAAGGGATTAATTTTTTACAATTTAATCCCTTCATTTCTGATCTCTTCCCTCTATTTCCCTTCTTTCCTCATTTGTTATCAAAATGAAAGATAATTCATCCCTCCATTACCCTCCGCCCCATTTCCTTCAATTCAAACAAAGTGTTAGAAAGATCTCATTAGTTGAAGTTTGCTTTTCCCATCATCATCAAAACTCTTTAAGAGACAACAATACACAAATATCACTAACAAAAAAATCAAAAGAACATGAAAGCTACATATTCCGAAACTTAAACCTAGCCATGGTGATTTAGATAATGGAATCTCATCGGAAAATAATAATCTCCATCGTCTTTAGAAGAGAAGAGAGAATATATTTTTACTAAGTGGGTCACATAGAAATAGGTGGACCAAATTTGCGCGTTTCTTTACCCTATCATTTTACAACTTTTTTTTTTCTTGAATTTGAACTTTATTTTTATTTCATTTTATAGTTTACTCGTATAGTTAATACAAAGTATTATAAGTCTTCAAGCACGAAATTTATTCTTATTTAACATTCTATTTCTTGTTTTTGGATTTGATTTAATAGTTGTTTTTTTTTTCTTAAAACTTGTTTCTGGATTTTATTTTATAGTTTATAACTTATATTTACAAACTATTATAAGTCTTCAAACCCATAAATAGTCTCGTTTAACTATTAAATTAAGGAACACTTTGTTGGTAGTGATTACTATTGGGTTTCATATAATTTGTTAATGAATACACATCTTCGTTATTTAATTTGTCATCTCTTTAATTATGTGTGCCTAATTACTACTTCCCCCTTTCTTTTTTTACTTGACCCACTTTGACTTTTACACTATTCACCACCCCTCATTTGACCTTTTTTTTCTGAATAATATATAAGGAAAAACATGTTTATGTGAGATTTTTTAAATTCGTCTCAACAAGTACTATCATAATACTACCTCCGGTTCTTATTACTCGCAACAAAGGGGTATTATTTGTGAGACATAAAATATTCCTTTGTTGCGAGTAATAAGAACTGGAGGTAGTATTTAACTTTTATAATTTTTACTTATGGAGAATTAAAGTTATTAATCGTTAAAGTTTTGCATTGACAAACGTGATAAAAGAAACAGGTCGAGTAAAAAAAAGAGCGGAGGAAGTATTTTGTATTTTCGTTTTCATTAATAGATTACCATCAATTAAATGTTTGAACCTACCATTAGAAAAAGAAAAAATATATTATTTGGAACTAAATTTTAAATTTTATTCTTACAATGTACAATGTCATAATTTGATTAGTTAAAAAAGTTGCTTTTACTTTTTTTCTAATGTAACCCAAGCCCCTTCATATCTATTATTAATTTGTTTAAAGGCTTATTAATTGATTTTATGATAAAGTAATTGATTCGTACTTGATGATTTTGGGGATTACATAACCTGTAATTGAGATTTAAAAACAAAAATTTATTCTTTTGTTGGATAATTTTCCTAATATGCAATGGAATTTTCAACAACTTCTCTTTTTCAATATAATAGTAATTGTCATATGTGATTTCAAATTAATATTAATCAATTTAAGTGGTCACTTTTTTTTCATAAGATTTTTGTCAAATTATTAAACATTTGAAATCCCCCAAATTAAAAATTCAAGCTCCGCCACTCGACATTTCACGGTGTGAAAATCTATAAATTATCATCCAACGAGTCAATATACACTATGTTCTTCACCCCCTTCCCCTAGCTAAAAAAAACTAGCCTAGAGATGGGAAGGAAGCCATGACAAGTTGAAAAGAGAAACAAGCACAACAAAGATAAACATGATTCACAAAATCAAACACAAAAGAAAGGATGAACATGTAATCAAAATTAATAAAACAAGAGAAAACACAAGAAAATAGAATGAATAAAACAAATAAAAGTGATAAGGGAAAGAAGAGATTACTAAACAAATGCTTGAATTGAATTGCTTGAAAAAAATAGAATAATAAAAGGTGCTACAATGGAGTTTATTTTTTATCTTTTCACTACATTCTCTTTAGAAAACTAGGCTTAGATCTGTAATTAGGTCTAAATTTGGATAAAAAGGCTAATTACATCAGTTTTGGGTATATATACCCCCCTCCAATCCCCCAATATAAGCCTTAGCTCCTTAGGTTGGTCTCTTGCCTTACCGTGTTGGATGTTATGTTTGTTAATAATAGTTGCTTAGGTTGGTTAAGTTATGTATTCATGGTAGTTTATTTCAATTTCTGTAATAACAATGCTACTTAATAAGCAAACAACTTTTGGCACTACATTTTCCACCTGTTTGGGGGTCTGGCATATTGCTACTGCTACTGCTAGCTCAGGCAAGGATTTTCTAAACCTTAAGCCTTTAATATGCTTTCCGTCGTCGCGTATTAAACACTTAAACTTATACATAGGTGTAGCACAATAGCCGTAACCTCACTCAAATCACTTTTAAATTTTTTGTATTAAACTACCATAAATACATAACCATATTTCAGAATATGTGCTATTGAAAATAAAATAGATGAAATAGAATTAAGTTGGACGGTAGGAAAAAGCAGGTAGTCCTAGTTTATCAATTTGAAAATAAAATGAACAGTGCCGTTAAGTTATGATGTAGTGTTATCGTTATCATTTGAAGAATTGGTAGGAGTTAAATTTTTTTTGGAACTTAGTGTGTAGATTGATAATGATTCTATTGTCATATTTGACGGAGTTTATTCAAATAGTAAGATTAACTTTATCGTAAGTTATTGGTAAGATTTAGTACGGTAACTAAATTTGGTATGTGGTTTTGTAACTGATTAATCGGCATAACAACTGCTGGGGTTTATGGTATAGTTATTTTGTTAAAAAGTTTAATAATTAGTAAAACTTATGTCAAACTTGTAATGTGATTTTGTGTATTTGTTTACTGCGCCGAACTAATTTGGTAGATATCCTCAACATGTAGTAGTTTTTGGTTATAAGTAAGGAATGATTTGTTGAAAATCCAGCTAGGATGAATGGATACAAATAATGGTTCGAGTATGGGAAAAAGAAGTTGCGAGAATGGTGTGCATGAAAAGGGTAGCGGGGTCATGTGTGTTGGTAATTGCTCCAAACAACCAGAGGGTTTGGAAGAAATTGTTTGTGAGGGAAGGTGTGGTCCTATTGTCCATGCCTTGCAAGGCAAAGTACCCCGGGTTATAGCGGGTCACAATACTTGTCTCCCTTAAATGTAATTGAGAGTATTGAAATAGTCGTGGCTAGTAATCACATAAGTGTTGCGAGTTATGTGGAGGAACCAAAGGTGGGAATGCTGTTTAAGACATGGCAGGATTTGGAAGAGTATTACAAAGAGTATGCTGAACAACAAGGATTTGGAGTGAGTAGAATCCAAGCCGTGTTTTCTAAGGGTGTTGTACGCATTAGAACTGCAACAACATGGAGGTGTGAGTGTTGGGGCAGACCAGACATGAGGGCAATAAGGGAAGCAAAAAAAAAAGAGCAAAGGCTATGGGTGTCTGTGGGTCTGGCGGAGTAGTAAGTGGAAAAGTATGTGACGATGAGTTAAATCGTAGGAAGAGGAAGTCTAAGAAATGTCAATGTGGTGTGATGCTATATGGTAGCATAAATCAAGAGAAGGAGTGGGTGGTGAGGAAAGTAGTACTGAAACATGACAATCACGACCCTATCCCTAGTCAATCTAAGCTTGTGAAGGAGTACCGGATGAAGCATCTTACCTCAAGGGCTAGGAGGAATTTGTTGAACTTCTATGATGAGGGAGTTCCTGTGTCACAGATTCATGGATGCGTGGCCATGGAGCGTAACGGGTTGGATAGCATGCCCTTAACTGCGAAATACCTACAACATGAGGTGTACAAAGCAAGGGGGTTGAAGATGGTTAGGGGAGATGCAACCGCTATGATGGCGTATTTCCAGCACATGCAGGCCACCACCAACAACTTTTACCATGCCCAACGTGTTGATGAACAAGGGCGATTGAAAGATGTGTTCTGGGTCGACGGTCGGAGTCTAGTTGCATATGCAGGGTTTGGAGATGTTGTATGCTTTGATGCAACATATTTAACTAATGAATACGAGCTTCCATTTGTCAATTTCGTCGGTGTTAACCACCACAGCCAATCATTATTATTGGGATGTGCATTGGTATCCCATGAAGATTGTGATGCGTTCTCGTGGATAATTACACAGTGGATTTCTAGTATGGATAATCGAGCACCACTTGCCATACTTACTGATGAAGCGGCCGCAATGAGAAAGCCTCTTGAGGAGGCAATGCTTAATACACGTCATCGATGGTGCATTTGGCACATCATGAGGAAGATTCCAGAAAAGCTTGGAAAATGTAAAAGGTCAGCACATTATCCTATATGTTTTTTATTCAATATAAATTATCTTACTATTGGTTGTGTTGCCTAGGACCGTGCCATGTATGTAATATAACCGGTACTTAATTTTTTTTCATTTTATCAAAGGTACAAGGAGTTCAAAAGCCAACTGAAGAGAATTGTTTATGAGAGTTTTACTGTGGAAGAGTTTGAGAGTCAATGGTGTTCCTTTATTGAAGAGTATAAGCTTCTGAACAATGAGGTGGTTGACTACCCTGTACAATGAACGTCATATGTGGATTCCCGCTTTCATGAAAGAATATTTTTGGGCTGGAATGAAGACCACACAAAGAGTGGAAAGCATAGATAGCTTCTTCGATGGGTTTGTGAATTATCAAACAAAGCTTTTTGAATTTCCACTAAAATATTCAATAGCTCTAAAAAAACGTGCACGTGACGAAGCTGATGCTGATGCAAATTGCTCTAAATATGTGCGGAGATTGATTAGTGGATTCGAGGTTGAGAAACTTTTTCAAAAAGTGTACACCGACACTAAGTTCCAAGAAGTGCAAACAGAATGTGCTCGGATGATGTACTATTTTTGTCGGGAGGAAAAGTTCATTAGTGAGACAGTTGTTCAGTATATTTTAGAGGATCGTGTGTGGATTGTTCCAAAAGGGATGAGCGAGGAGAAGCTTACAGATCCCAGGCGATTTTTATCCACAACTTTCAACAATGTCACGAAGGAAGTGGTGTGTGATTGTAAGAAGTTTGTGACTGATGGTATTATGTGCAAACACATGTTTAGAATACTCGATCAAAATCACGTTTTTGAAATTCCGGAAACATACATTGTCTATAGATGGCGTAAGGACATATCAAGGAAACACACCCGTGTCAAGGTAGAATATCATGATCCTTCGGAGAGTGTCGAGGTTAAGAGGTATAACCGTCTTATGACCGCATTTGAAGGGCTATGCGACGAGGCAGTAATGGTGAACGAAGAAACCGTAGAATTAGTCCTACAAGGTATTAATCAAATGAGGGTGCAAGTTGAAGGGCTCAAGCAGAAGAAGGTAGGAAATCACCTCTTGACAATAACGATGATGCCGGCACAAATACCACACACAACTCAGATTTGAATGACACTGCACACCAACATGATGCCACCGTACCTCTGGACCCTATTCGGACCAAGAAACCACATGGCCAGCCCAAAGGGAGTAGAATCAAAACACCAACTGAAATGGGCTTTAAAAAACCTCAACAACGCAAGGGAAAGGTAAACGATGATGATTCTTGTTATGTGTAGTTATCCAACTATATAATTTACTTAAATATTGATTTATGTGTCGTTCACCAATGATGATATAAGCAGCTAAGGATAGGGGGACTCATCAACCTTCGTCTGGCTTTCGCAACATCAGGAAAGTCGAAACTTCCGGTAAGTGATGAAATTTTAGGAATGATGGCAATACCATGCGTGGGTGGCCACTCTTTACACATTTCTTATCTTGTTAACTTAATGTTTATGCAGGTGTTGCGCAATCCAAACGTCATGCAAAACGAATCAAATGACCACCGCATATTGAAGGGGAATGAGTTACTCAGTCGTAACACTTTGAACTGGTGTGATGGAGAGTCACAATCTTTCTAATACCTTTGGTCGTCGTTTTCCAGCTCTTCTTATGTTGTAGTTCCTACATATATAACTTCAACTTTGTTTTTCCGTGATTGATAGTCACATTCTATCTAAGACCTTCGGTCGTTGTTTTCCATTCCATCTTATGTTGGATTTGAATTTTTTTTTAACATGAACAATACAACTAGCCTACAATGTTATGGCAATAGTACATAACTCTACCGGGTATAATCGTCCACTAATGGATGCATCCAACGTTACAAGACACGAATATTAGACATCACAAATCTATTAGCACCCTTCCACACAGATCATAATTCTGTTAATGGTTCTGTACAGTAGTGGTTTTTATGGCCCTATACACTTGTAGCTCGACTTTCTCTGTATAAGGCCATCCTAAAATCAACAATATGAATTGTACCTTGTTACTAAGGTTTGCTATTGTCTAACAGATCATTATGGGTCCACATTGTACACTATGAAGCAACATAGTGCACTGATTTTTTTTTTTCTAGATTAATCCCTTTAGTTAGATGAATTAAGCTAAAAAAATACTCTAATTATCTTCATAGTTATATTAAAATTTTAAAATGCCTTCGACCCTAAGTTGTATCTCTATATTGGAAAGTAATCAAATTGCTGACTAACCAACAAAAAAAAATAAAAAAAATAAAAATAAAAAATAAAAAAATGCTAGCATTTGTATTTGAAGAATTAATAAAGAGGGGAAAATAATCTGAACTCCACCATCATTAACAAAATGATTGAGATTCCCGTCAAAGAAAAAAAAAAAAAAAAATCTATGCATCAGATATTTTATAAAAAAATCCATATAAGAGGAAAAAAAAAGAATGTGAGAGACGTCAACAACTAATTGTTTTTACACCATAGACAAATTGTGTACTTAGTCGATTTGGTCATAAAATGTTTTAGAATAATGTATAATTACTTTAACTTTATCTTGAAACGAAAAAGAAAAAAAATTAAAAAGAGAATGATGCCACAAATAGCTTAGGAGTGAAATTTTTTTAATAAGCTGGTGACACGTGTACAGTGGTAATTTCAGCGATAATTCCTTTAGTCTAGTTATAGATTAAAACATAATACTCATTATCCTCGTAAATTTTTTATTCGTTTTTCAATGTATAATTTTTAAATTATCATGGAATAACTCTTTATCACTTCCGACGACCAAATGCTGGTAACTACTTTGGACAGTTCATATGTGTAATGGCCTAGCCCAATTTTTTATACTTCATATCTGTTGTTGGCTAGCCCAACTTCATACATTTTCATTTCCTTTTTTTGTAGACCAACTTTGTAAATTCCTTGGGTCTGTGATAAGCTAGTCTACAGTATACACTTCATATTATTGATTGTGTAGCCCAACTTTGTAGACAGCTGTCCCCCCATTTTAGTTTTTTTTTTTTTTTTTTTTTTTTTTTTTTTTTTTTTTTCTCTATTTTTTTTTCATTCACAATAAATAGTTTACTTATTCTACTCATTTTTCAAAGAACAGCATGGTCGGGTGGATGTAGTGTATGAATAGAGTATGCTCCTCCCTTTTCCCAGGTTCAATTCATCACCCTCACGCTTTTCATCTTTTTTTTTTTTTTTTTTTTTTTTTTTTTTTTTCTCTCTTTCTTGTATTTGGACTTAATTTTTAAATTTCATTTATTTGTTGGTTTTTTTTTTCTTCTCTTGTGTTTGGAATTTATTTAATTTTTGCTTTTTTTCTCTCTTGTTTTAACTTGATAATCAAATAACTTTGCAATTTTTTTTTTTCAAATGTAACCCAAAGCCCTTCATATCTATTATCAAATTGTGTAAAGTCCTATAATATGATCTTATGATAAGTAATTGATTCGTACCGATCGTTTATTTGATTACATAACATGGAATTCAGGTTACATATAAACAAAAATTTTCAACTTTGTTGGGTAATGGTATGTAACTTTTACCAACTCCTTTTTTGCCATATAGGAATACTATCATATGCGATTTCAAATACATAATAAATAATTTATGTGATCAATTTTTTTCTTGAGATTTGTATCGAATTATTAAACATCTGATTTTTGTCCCCCCGGATTAAAATCCTAGCTCCGCCACTAGAGTTAGCCCCTTTTTTTTAATCATCTTTTGGAATTTGTTATTATGTTGTCTATATTTTATAAACGTTAACAAATGTAAGTCTTCAAACCCCTTAGCTTCTCTTTTCCAAGAGAATATAGAATAACTTCCTTATTTTGTTACTTAATTTGAGCGTATTTAAAATTTTCTGCATCTTCATATTAATTTTTGTAGATGAGCTTAATTGGTCTTTGGTAATTTTTCTTTCTTCAACTCCTACCATGTTTCATTTAGGCGATCGTACTACTCAAATTTTTAGTTTCTAAAATGTGCTTAACTTTAATCCGGCCACTCATTGATGATGGACTTAATGTATTTATTTATTTATTTAATTACTTTTACCATATTATTAACATATCAAGGTTACTTAAACTGGTTCACTCTCCACATTAGCTTAATTAGGCAACCTTAGCTACATTGTTTCCAGTTCAATCTCCATCATTTTTTATACTATCATATTTCAGCTTCAATGGTAAATTCTTTACGCTACCTTTTTGTGCGATAATAAATTCATGTAATCGACTCTTTATGTAAAAATTTCCCTTATCCTCTGTACAAACATTTCATATCATACGGCCAACTAATTATGATAAACATATTTCTTTAATTACCTCCATTAGAATATTTAGCCATGTAATCATACTCATCGTTACTTCTTTGGTAATTAATACAAAGTATGAATTCCACGTTCTTTGGCCTTGATTACTTTTATTTTTTAATCTTCCGAAATTGCAATGTATCATTGATCTAACACAAAGAGTTGACTAAAACCAATAACTTTATATTAATGCAACTGATACATTTATCATTACACAATCATCACCCAAAAGTTCCTACTTGAACATAGACCTCTACAGATTTGGCTTTTTTACTCTCAAAAGGTGCTCAATCCGGCACACAGAGTACCTTCACTTCAAAAGGCTGACTTCCAACACTAGGCACGCCATTGATGCTAATATATCACACAAAATATGGCTACAAACTTAACCAAATACATCATAAAGACACAACATCCCCCTCCAAAAGTTCCTTGTAGCTACTCGACTAGCAACATTATATTCATATCCTTAGCAACAAAAGACAAGGAAGAAAAGGGGAACACCGAGGATCACGTCACGGATGGTGTGGTTGGAAGTTAAAATTTTATTCTCTCGTATTATAATCACAGATTGAGCTGGATATCCCAAGCGTTGAGACCATTCCTCTTTCACACGACTAAGCGGCGTGGTAACATGACCCACCATTTTCAGCACCTTGGGGAAGGTTGTCAAATCACGAACATAGAATTGCTTAAGAGGAGTGTCTACATTATGTTCCGGATTCTACGAGAGACAACAACCAAAAATCAATTAAGTTAGTGCATGATTAACTATTGCTAAATTTTAAGTACAAAGAAAAATCATTAGGCAAATATATCTAAAAAAAAATTAAGTAGGCAAATATATTTTTTTTAAAAAAAATAGCATAAAGCCCAACCATTCCTCTAGCAAATAGCACTTCGCCGTTGTGAAGTCCTATACCAAAAGGCGTGTCATATGGAGTTACGATGACGACCCCCCCTCACCCCCCTTAAAACGATTTCGTAAAATTTCCTATCAACCCTGTTGGGTATGGCCCAAATTTTATAAGCCTATTATTTTGGTCGAAGTATTATCCATATTCTAAAAGCTTCCGAAATAATATCCTACTTGAATTTTCTAGAATATTATGGACACAAGAAGGATGGAGAATTGAAGAAAAACCTAGAATTATTAAATGCCAATGAAAATTCTAAATTTATGTGGAGAGTTTAAAAAATATCTACACATGTGGAAGTTTCCACACAAATCTTCCAAGCTCCATCTACACCTATAAATATAGGTCAAGGGCATTCAATCACACAACAACACAACACAAAAACACAACACAAGAAGCCATGCCAAACACAAGCCTTTCTACAAAAATATCCTCCCTCCTTATAATATTTCACTACTATCATAATACTCCTTGTGAGTTTCTTATAGTGAGAGTTCTCTTGTAATACTCACCCTTTCAAGGGTTCTTGTACTCTCCTACTTTCATATAGTGAAATGAATTAAAGTGCTCGTTGTTACATAAAATCGTGTGTTCATTTATATTAATTATCTTGCCAAATTATCAATTCAATTTATACTTCTCAATCAAACACATCTCCGCTTCTGCTGTGCACTTACCAACCCTAACAAGTGGTATCCGAGCCAAAGGTTGATTAGAGTGTTTACATATTAAAGATGTCTTCGGTCACGAAGTTCCAGATTGAGAAATTTGACAGCAAGATTAATTTCAGCATCTGGAAAGTCCAGATGAAAGTTGTTCTAGTACAGAGCGGATTAAAGAAGGCTTTGGATGGAAAAGCTAAAAAACCAGAGTCAATGACAGACGAGCAATGGCAAGAGTTGGACGAAAAAACCCTCTCGGCAATCCAACTATGTTTAACCAAGGAGGTACTGTGCGAGGTTGTCCATGAAGACACAGCATCCGGCCTATGGCTGAAGTTAGAGTCACTATATATGACTAAAAGCCTTGCTAACAAGCTTCAACTTAAAGAAAGACTTTATACAATTCGAATGGCCGAAGGTACTTCTATTCAAACTCATCTCGATGAATTTAATTCAATTATAATTGATCTTGAAAATTTAGATGTTAAAATCGAAGATGAGGATAAGGCCGTGTTATTAATTGTCTCCCTACCAACTTCATATAAACACTTCAAGGAAATTATGCTTTATGGCAATAGTGATACTCTTTCTTTTGAGGATATTAAATCTCACTTACTCTCAAAAGAAAAGTTTGACCTTGAAGTTCATTCTAATGAAAATGCCGAAGGTTTAAATATAAAAGGGAGATCACACGGTAGTAAAAGT